AAAAATTATTGCTCTTAATAAAAGAAAATACTGTATGCTGTTCTAGTTGGACCATCTTTGCTGTCAATCATAAAGCGCGGATGACTCTCATATTTAACTCTTTTCGCGACCGGTGTGACTTGTCTCAAAATGCATATTAGAAAAAATTCATTGTTAGTTTCAATAAAATTTTAAATATATATACAATTCCAACATAAAAAGCTTTAAATGTGAATAAACTGTAAAATAAAGAATCTTAAATATGAATAAATTGTTAAATTTTTTTTACTTTTACTATTTCGCATCTCTAATCAGTTACTATTGTTCGTCAGTCATGCGATAAACAATAAAATAAAACACTTAACGATGAAGGACTCCTGCATCAAAGACAAATTAGTAGCAACACTCTCTTCGCTTTTTCGCCGCTTATCAAACTGCTGCAGGTCGAGAAGCGGATCGTAACGAGCGCGTTAATTACTGCGAAACAGATATCATCTGGCAGACGTAACCGATCGGTACATACTTGTTTTGCATTGCGTCGCGATAACCCCGAGCGAGAGTACCATCTTTATAAACTTCTTTGTTGACGAAAAAAAAAAAAACAGAAACGCATTAAAAGAAAAGAGAGTTTATTCTAGGGTAACGACTCCGCAAGATACAGCGTTACGCATGAAAGCGAAGAAAAAGAAAGAGAAAGAAAAGACAAACAAACTCGCGGTAGTATCGATGTATACGTGGTGTAATTAAAATGTATAATATTCGCATAGCGGATATCATCGCGTACCGCGACGGTGAACGTGCGAACATTCGCATATGCCAAATAGAATTGCATGCGCAGTGTTTGATGGCAAAATAATACGAATAATTTTCATATACAAAAAAAAAAGATTTCAAAAAGACTATTGGAAAAAACATTTTCTCATAATTTTGTATGAATAAAATATATGAGATGTTCTCCACAATTTTAATTTTGAAAGCATTAATGACAAAAAATTTGATAAATTTGGAATAATCTTTTTAGCAGAAATGTCAAGCTGTATAACTGAGTTAAATAACTGAGATAAAAAACAAACTTAGAAAAAAAGCAGAGCTTCTTAAATTTGCTTTTTGTGCTTTAACTTAACATAATTTTAATTTAAAGCTTCGCTACCAAGATATATAGCGTTGAAAGTTGCGATAAGTAATGATCTCCCCTCGATACATCTGTTAAAGAAAAATCGGCTTGAAATTCACAGAATCTGTTGTTAAAATCAAGGTTGCGAGATTGTATACACATAAGCTAATAAAACTGTTAATCGTCGCAAAGAAGCTTTGTAACTTCGCTTATTGTGACTTGGACGTTTAGATAATGTCGGCATCTTTGATAAACAAATGATATTATAGTGGAAGAAACCCAATCAAGCCTCACATAATTATCATTGCAATTTGTGAGAAATTGATTTCGCAATGATTATTTCCAGAGTGTAAAAGAAGACGATAGACCTAAGGTCACCCCATGATCGTGATATTTGAATAGCGCGAGAAATATCAATCCTTTTAACACGTGCTGAAAGAGCACGCGGTCGCGAGCTATCGATAACGCATTTAATGCACTCTATTGACTTCGTATCGAAAGCGTATTAGACAAAAATGCCTTGTAAATATAATGCGCGAGTGCAGCATCATATCAAATTAGAAGTGCAATCTGTTAGGTCGAGAGAGAGAAAGAGAGAGAGAGAGATGTTTGTAATGAAATTAACTCTTAAATGAGACGCATAAGTCATTCGTGTTTATGCCGTTTCAAGCTTTTCACGTTGAAATTTAAAAAAAAATGTTAAAATCAAATGTTAATTTTTTAACGTTTCGAGATATCTTTCAAAACACTTAAATTAGATATGTCAATTTTTTTCAGAATTTCGCAAGCATTTTAACAACACTAAAAATATATGCGTCATGTGAAAGTTCAAATAAACAGTAATTGTAGCAACATTAAATTGCAGAATATAATTTTTCTACTCTTTTATCGCTGCGCAAGCGAAATGTAGAAAGATAAATATATTATTTAATGCACTATTATTATGACTTGGCGCACTTTTCTGTCGCCACTTTCCGTTATCGTAATAGAGCATTAAATTATAAATTTTCCCAGGATTTAAAAAAAGCAGCGAGAAAACGTGCATAATCTTGTTAACATCTTGTTAACAACAACAATAACAATAACAACCAAGAAAGCTAATGTGGCTACTCGCGTACATCGTCATCATTCCACCATTATCGCTCCAAGCATTTGTTACCGACGATTATCGAGTTCAGCCCAGACGAGTGTAAACATTTTTTTGCACGCCGTCATTGTGTATAAATAGATGTATAATATGTAATCACGTTCATACCAATCTTTCTTCTTCTCTACGATACATCGCGCATCGTAGAGATATCTATACGCGTGTGAACCCGCGCCCACAATCAGCGATGGAATGATTAGAATTGACATATTTATAGCGGCTGTAAAAATTGAGATAAGTCGACGCCACTTACGTTCAGCAATACTACAAGACGGAACCTTGAACTTTTTAACACATTTTCGATAAAATATCTCTCGTCAATCTTTAAACTGGCAAAAAAAATAGATTAAACTTAAAAGCGGAGATCTTTTTAAAACGTATCTAATTTGTTGAAGGAATTTTATTTATTCCTGAACTTCACTAATTCACCACTTTCGTAAAATAACGTATCTTTATTTTTCATAGCTTATAGATTTGTAATCTTTTATTTGTAAAACTGTGTTTTAAATTATTAAGATCGGTGAGTCAGACAATAAAGAGAGGTTATCGCATTAACACTTGGATAATAAAACTTCTGCTATCTTTCACAATCTTTCTTTTCGTGTATTGATTCTCTCCCGAAACTTTCATCACAACATAATTTAATTAATATCGTAATTTTCGTTACGCATTAGTTTCGTCTGTAAAATTAGATATCTGTAAAATATTGTTTACGTTTTTATAATTATTTTTTTTAAACGTATGCACAAGTGGAGAATCTTATTTTGAAATGCAATATTAGATATCACATGTATAGCAATGATTCTTCTCTTGCAGAAGTCTTGCTATCCAAATGTTAATGCGATAACCTCTCTTTATTGTCTGACTTATTCCAGGCAACAATTGAAGATATTATTAACAATTGCAAGGTTTTCAAGAAAAATTGCGTTATAAATTGCCAATGTTTTATCATTTGTTCTTTTGCAAAACTGCTCAAAGTTATTTTCGCGAAACTTTATTTACAAAATAATTAATTTTAAAACTGTTAAATTCATTTTGTTGTTCTCAAACTTTCTCTTCTCTCTTTTGCGTAAGAAAAATTTATTAGAATTTGTAATAAATTTCTATGTTTATTTTTAAGCAAGTATAAATTAAACGCCGATCTTAATAATTTAAAAATACCATAGTTTTGTAAATAAAAGATTACAAATCCATAAACAAAAAACTTCATAACATTGTTCCGAGCTAAGAAAGAAAAATTATCGCGGTTATCGCCGTTTATTGCATTTGCCCGATAAATCCACGTCTATCTCCGGCTCGCACTTGAAGAGAGGAAGAATTCATTCGTTCATTCATCGTCGTTTGTAAAAAATCATGCAATGACCAAATGTAATATAAAAAATTCTAATGCAAATACATCGGCGTATTATTTTTGAGGAAAGCAACGGACAATTTCACTAAAGAGCCTTTGTTTGCATTGCAAATCGCGTTATCTCCGATCGTATTTGTAATTAATGGAGCGTCTCGCGAAAATGTTGGTAATGAAAATGTTTTGCAAATTAAGCGTCGCAATCCGAATGCATATAATCATCCATTACAAATAAGGTATTTCATAACAAACGATACGACTGCAGTTATATAAATAAAAATTCAACGCGATAATATTTGTGTGCATGTTTTTCTGCGGTATTATAAAGTCTTATAAAAATTAAGAGTTATTTCTTTCAAGAATTAATTCACATAGAAAATTGCTGTGTTAATAAATTGTAAAATATGATATTTATTAATCAAAATATAATAATTATATTTATAAAATATAAATATTATATTTTATATAATTAATATCTCTCTATCACGTTGATAATTTATGTTACTGAATTAAAAATTATTATCAAATATCAAATAATAAAATAATTTAAATAAATCAATTTAAATGAAAAGCAAACTACCGCAATGACTCTTATACCAGCTTTACAAAGAGAGTGATGTTTCCGCAACTGGAAAAGCTCAGGCATTTCAAGGCAAGGTAAATATACAAGACACACAGCATAATGTTCGTTACAAGAACTTTCGATAATATTCGATAACTAAGAAAATAATCGGAAGCACGGCGATTCGAATCTACGATTATTATCAGGTCCATCAACTGCAAATTACACAATGCAAAACCAGTGCAGCTAAATGGCAATCATCGTTTATGTTTTTGGTGTCAAGGCATTCAAGGAGACGCTCCACTATCAGAAACCAACCTTCGTAATATTACCGTGGAACGTTAATTCATTCATGTCATGTATCGCCCCGAGTGGAATAACCGAACCGAACCGTTTCATCATTATCATTACCGGGATGTTGCCGAATGAGACACGAGGACGAAACTAACATATTCGCGAGATACCGTACGCTTCATACGCGAGATTTCAAAAATGCGCAATACACAATCGATAATTTCGACAAAACAGATTCAAAATCAATACAATATTCAGCAATTTCGTGATTATGAGATCATCGTTTTTTCCAGTTTAATTTGCGATAAAATTTTACACATATCGCATCTATTGTGCGCAGATAAAAAATTATAATATCGTTAAAAATATTCAGATATACATAATGAATAGCGTATCTCGGCGAATACCGCGATTTTCATGCAATTCCGATAATTATGGGAAGACTATCTCTTTTCAATAAAATTTTATACATATTATGCGCGGAGAAAATTCTAATATAAAGAAATATTCGGCGATTTAAACGTGTGCTTAAGAAGAAAGAACGGTATTTATTTACCATCGGCTCTGTTTGTTCCGGCGAGGTCTTCGATTCGTCCTGAGCTCCTTCTTCCTGCGTCATGATCGCTTCTAACGGTGGTATTTTCGGCGATCACGAAGTTCCGTACGGGCTACGCGATACACACGCAATCCTCCGGACATCGAAAGAAACGTAATCTGCGCATTAATGGATTAGCTAATAAAACTTATCTTGTCCTCGTGAAAGAAATCCACGCCTGTGTCTTCGTAGGCGAATTTGCGACACAGGTAGAAGTTCGTGATGTTCATAGTTGTTCTGCCTGGCGATTGTAGCCTTGCAAACGCAGAATATCGATGGACCCAGAGAGACCGGTGATCCTAGCGCACACGTTGCTGCGAAACTTCCTCTCGACGCGAGTCGCACCAAGAGAATAACGGGATCTGGATTTCGGCGTTCGACGATTTCCGCAGCGGAATGCGGGGGCTCCTTTTTTTTCTGCCGCACGACGCTTGCGATTGGTTGGTCCCGCAGAGTCAGCCGATCGATCGATCGATCGATCGATCGGTCCTCGCGCCCGATAAATAACACCTCGGGAAGAGCTCTCTTTTTGGAGCGACGAAAGCCGCGAAGGTGTCGCGGCGAGTGCAGGGAGAGGAAAAGAGCCGGCGCAACCGGCCGGCTTACGCACACTGACTTCTGACTGGTCGAGCTAGTAGGTGACTCCGCGGACCCCTTCCATATCGCATAGCAACGGCGAACACACTCGTAAGACGACTGATAAGTAACTGCACTTTGTCAAGCAACGATAAATCTTGAGCGCAAATGTGTATGCAAATTATTAAAAAGAGAAAAAAAGTCGGAGCAAAAAGAATAAATGAGAATGACGAAAGAAATTCAAACGATCTGTCGGACTGATTGAGCTGATACGAAAAGTATCTCGAGTCCGTAGATGGGAAGAAATTGGATTTCATATTCCATCGTTTGAAAAATACCATCTAAAGACTAGAAATAAATTATTACCGAAGAGATCGTGTCTTTTCAGCGAGCGACTTGTATCGACATACAAGAAATAAAATAAGACAAAAGTCGATCGAATAAGATATCACAGATAAGGTCTGGAATTCGCGAGCCAAAAACACGAATCGTATCGATCTTTTTTTTTATCCCGTTCTATTATCGCTCATTTATTTGATTTTTGTTTCTGGAATCGAATTTCGAATGATAAATTTTCGGAGCGGTGAGTTCGTGTCATCGGACAGGAACGATCGAGAACGCATCCGCTTCTGTCGCGTGCGTCCATGCCTGAAATTGCGCGCAACACACCCAGTGGGAAAAGGATAGAAATCGCACCGCGTCGTAAATCGGCGCGATACGGTCGGCGCGATTTTCAGTCCTCGCGCGACGCGTATCAAACTGCCAGTAATAACTATTTTCGTACGCGGCCGGCTGGCGGGAAAAACAAAATAAGATAACACGGTATACGTTACGTATCCGGCACGATAAAAGCGTATGCAAGTACGCGAGCGGGCATCTTTCGGTGCTCGCGTCGTAAATCAGCGACGGGCAGCCGGGGGGGACGGCGTTAATGTTATTAAATTATGCGGCGGCCCCGCTTCCTGCAGCGGGATGAATGGACCATCTTCTATCGATCTTATCGCGCGATTCCATCGATCTCCATCGAGCGACAGGCCGAAACGCCCACGCGCGTTTCTATCTCGGAAACGTAACTGTAACCCGACCTACGTCAATCTGAACCTACACCTAAAGCCGAGCGTGATCTTACCTGATGCCGAGAAAAAGATGCGCGACGAAACTTCGAGAAAGATCTCCAAAATCGAAGCTTCGCGAAGTTCTGCAAAACACCGAACGGACTTGAGCGAAAAATAATAATTCTCTGATCTGATTTTAGGTAGTTTTGAAACGAACTTTACGAAGGGAGCAATGCTGCTGCTGCGCGTGTGAAGAAACCAATCGGAAAATATACATGACAAAATTTCATTCTCCGGCTTCTTCGCTCCCCTCGATTATTCAATCTGCGTTTCTGCATGTACGAAGATGCGCCCCTGCGAGCGACATTCGCACACTCTCTCACGGGGGTACGCACGAACACGCGTTTATTTTTGCAAGAGATACGGACCGTTCCCTCGAGCTCCCCCTCAACCGGACTGAAATACGCGATAATACATTTCAAGGAAGAGCATTTTCGACCACTCGTGTCGCCATACCCTTCTGTACTTTCCTCTCTCTCTCTCTCTCTCTTTCTTTCTTTCTCTGTCGAGGGTCTTCTAATGTCTTTGCGCTACGTAATCGGATGGTATCCAGACATCACATAACGAACGAACGACGCCGGTTATTATCGAGAGGCTATAGAGGATTAAAATGCGATTGGTCGACTGGCCGTTGCACTCGGTGATGCACTGCGAAACAGGATCGACCCTCTGTCTTCTCCTTCTCTCTCTCTCTCTCTCGCTCTCTTCTTCTCGGTTCATTTCCTTTTTTTTCTTCTCAGCTACTGCACAACCACTCCCTGCCCAGTTCTGTCGGACGTTCATCGTCCGCAAGAACGCGACGACCTACCGCGAGTCGTCATGAACGATCGACATGATCGTATAACATTAACAGCTTGTTTTTTTCTCACGACGATCGTTTAAGTTTCTAATTATATTTTGTCTACAAGACATCAGTATGTAAAATACTGAGATAATGAAATTTTCTTGTAAAAAATCTGTTCCAATTGTTAATAAGTAAATAGGAGAGAGAAATAGATACCTGAGGAAATTTCGATAAAGTGTGCAGATTTCGATAAAGTGTCTGGATCTCTTTTCATTTCGAAGCTGAATTTAATACGCTAAATAGCAGCTTTACTATACACTCACGCGTAGAAATAATGCACAGCAGTAATGCGTAGTATATAAGATAAGACTCTGTATCTTCATTAAATAAAGACACAGATATTATTAATATTTCAATTTCAATTTTAATTTACATCTCTAAAATGCGGCTTTATCCAACGCATAATTTCAAATCTATTTTGAGATCGTCAAATTAAATGACTCATTCCGTATAACTCAGATAATCAGCAAACTTAATCTCACAAGCAATGGCAAATATTTGACTTACGTAAAAATATTTGACTTCTTATTAAAAATTGAGAAATCCTTGATATATAGAAGATTTCAGAACTGCGAACTACCACTATATTATTAAAAAATAATTCTGACAAACTTTCTCCTTTTCTTAATAACAGAAACTTCTTAAAGAATTAAATGAAAACAAGATCTATAAGACCGAATTTACGCAGAGGGAAAACTCTGATTTTTTTTTCAGGTAAAAGTCCGAAAAGAATGCTTCCACGCAGAAGAAGCAATATCTCTAGAAACAATTCATTCGGCATATTGACTCGAACGCCACGCTCCGCAAAATGATCTTCATTAACGTAATCGCGCAAACCAAGGACACAGAGGCAAGATTCTCTTCTTCTTTATCTTTTTCATTACCAAGCTAGAAGCCCGGACTTAGTCTTATCTTACTACGCATTACTACTATGCAATATTTCTACGCAAAAGTGTATAGTAAATCTATCCGCTATCTATTTGGCGTATTAAATTCAAGGTCGAAATAAAGAGATCCAGACACTTTATCGAAATCTGCACACGTGAGAAATCCTTCCCATTTTAAATACACACAAAAAAAAAGTAATACAAAACGAGAAATATATTTGCAGCTCGATTCTGCAGTCCTCCATTCAAGTTCACGGGGTGACAATCAAATACAATACAGAATTGGCAGACCGTGACCTTTATCAGCTAGAAGATCCCGTCTGACAAATGTCTGCGCGCGATTAATCGGCCGATCAAACACGCACTATCGGCGCGACATGACGACGTTCGATCGTGCGGTTGTATTTCGCGATCGCGAACACCTGCGAATGTGAGCATAAATGACACGCGCGCAGGTGAAGAACACAAAGCAGAAGGGAAATCAAAGGTCAAAGGCGAAATGTCTCCGCTCGCGAAGATCAAAGACTAAACTCGTTCTTTTTTTTTTATGCGTCGACACGACTGTGGGAAGGTGGGAAACATTCCTGCAGCGACCTCAAACGATCTTTCATAGATCGCGCGTGTCTGGAAGATAACACTGAATTTTATCAGTTTAACTCTAGCTGCGCTCAACATAAACGTGACAGGTCATTAACCGACGTAACTAAATAAATACTCGCGAAGTCATTATACGAGGTGAAATCGGTGGAAATTAATGTGGAAGGCGGGCTCGTCGGAACTGATTTAAGAGTCATCACTAGCTAGATTCATTAACGTATAATAAAACATGTTATTAGCGTTGTAAATCTAATAAATGATAAACTCTCCGGCCTCGTGTCTATCTTTATGGCAAACGATTAATTTTAATGAAATACGTTTAAAAAAAAATTATATTAAGATATTTAAGAATTTAATTTAATTCAATTTTTTATTCAAGAAATTTTATTTCAATTGAAAGAAAATCAATATTTAATTTAAAAATGCAGTTTAAATAAAAAAAATCGATGTCGCAAATAAATTCTAATATAAAAATTTTCCAATGGTGAGTAAAGAATGATAAATTAAAAATTCCTACGATTTAAATAATTCTAAATAATTCATACAAAATTTATTAAGTGATTATTCTCTAAAATATCATCTTGTCTTGTGACGTTCCGCATGTATCATCAATAAATATTTAATCTTCGAAAAGAATAAATAATATTTTTGGTATAAGCGTAGCATTTCGTAGCGCGAAATCCACGTCTTAATTACAGACGGACTCTCAAGTATTTCCGTACATGCAAGATGGATCATCGACCATATAGATTGCTTTCAACCTACTCGCTAAGACTGTAAACACATTTATTTTCGGTCAGTGGATGTTGGTATGTAAGAGTAATTGCAATCATCTACGAGATACATGTCGAAGGTCTCGTGGCAATGCTGTCAAATATTTTTCGCGTCTGGAGAGACTCAGCTCGCTGCGGGATCCGCGATTGGTGATCGGACCGTCAGTTTACCGATAACTTGTCTAATCGTTTTATGCTCGGCCTTCGTTACTCCCTCATTAATTAAAAATACCGATTTTTCCTATCGGTCTGACGTGATTTTCCTTACGTAGAGAGGAGCCTCCATACGTTTAATCTCATATATAATATATATATATATAATAATCACTAGCGAGTCCAAAAGAGAAAATCATAAAAATTTTAATCTCCCTCCGCTTCTTATATATTTTATATTAAAACTTCTGCTTTTTAGTTGGATCTAATTATATTCCAGAAAGATTTAAATGTTTTGCTAATATTTAACAACCATGTTCATTACCGATTATTAAAATACTGATATCAAAATCGACGCAATAAGCATGTCAGTTGCAAGCATGTCAAGCAAGTAATCAACCAAGTTAAATAATACTTAAATGCGCAAATTCTTCATAAAACAAATAATATTATTGTGCGAGATATCTATTTACACAAATCTCGTGTAATGTATTCACTGCCTCAGAAGTTAATGACCATTTTTGATATAAGAGTATCAACTTTTATTCAATCAATCATCTGATTAAATAAACTTTACTATGTTCAAAAAAATTTCCTCAAATTTAATAAAATTTAAAAACATGTTTCTAGTAAAAAAGTTTTCAAAATTTGGCCTATGTTTACTGACTATGAAAAATAAATTGCAAAAAATTTCATAAAACACCAGAGCTACTTATCTCTTGTAGTTCAATTGCATCAGAAAATAGAGTATCGATTTTCCAATTAATTTATCAACATTCGCTGCCATTTTTTCATATAAATGTTCAGGCACCGTTTATAAAAAAAAAAGAAAAGAAAAATGATTACACGCGCGCTGTACTCACAGACTCCTCGTAAAGCGTCCTTCCCTTTTTTTTACTCCTTTTGTGGAAGAAGACACTCGCGCTCGCCGATGACGACACGTCCGCTCAACGAAACACTTCCGCGCTTTCGGATCTGAATTTTGCGGGAGCGAGACCAATCTTTCCGACGGTAAAACGCTTTCGCACGAAACACCGGACAAGCGATAGCGACGGCGATGACGCGGAGCAAACCTCTACGTGGATGTACGTCTCATGTAAAAATGCGGGCGACGTCTCTGCCGCCGGGACGATCGTCGGCGGTACAAGGGCGACGAAGGTCGCAGCTGCGCGTCGCGGCACGCAGGTGCGTCTCTGTCTCTCTCGCACGTTCGTTCGCTCGCACATTCGGTAGAGCGGGCGATTTGGAAGCTGGTCGCAGTGACGCAGTGCACGCGTCGCGATACCAAACGTAGCGATGTATCGTTTCGACGCGGCGATATATCGCTCAATATCACGGAAAGATCAAAAGAGAAGGAAGCAAATTGCTTTTTACAATTAATGGCTTTGTTGCACTGTTTGTAGTTGAAATAAAACATGCTTCCGAACAGAAAATAGTAAAAGAAATACGAAAAAGCAATGCTACACAGTATGTCTGAAAAAAAAAGCGATAGATTTTTGGAAATCGCTTCATGAGAATTCTTGTCACGATTTGAATGGTTGGAATGTTTTTGTAATGAATTTCTTTTGAACGAAATTTTAAATTTTGAAAATAAAAAGTACTTACGGAGAATCAAATCAGATAGAGATATGGCGAATTGTCAATCTTTACTATCTTTGTTTTAATCAAAATTCATATACCACCGATATGATGTACGCATTGTTGAAACCATGCAAAACAAACCGGCTCCCCGGTTGTTGATATTCAGATCTTATTCGAACGCCATCACAAACGCTCCAAAACATTCGGATAGCAGTTATCGTTTAGTCTTCTAAAACAAATTTCTGCAGAATAATGTTTTTGAATCGTAAAAATATAAAAGTATTTCATAGATTCTTTTTCACGCGAGAGCTTTCATCTTTCCGACTTTCCCAGCCAAATCTTGCAAATCATTTATGTACAAAACAATCGTCTTCATAAAAACTTGTTTCTACATAAATTTGCATAATAATTTTATCAATTTTAAAACAGAACTTGTGATATCAGCTTGTTGCTCTTCGCGACAAGATGTTTTAAGATATTATCATTTATAATTCGTATGCGTATGTATACTCACGAAATACCGATACTCGTTAAAACAAACATGAAACTTGAAGCCGCCACTAATTGTCAATAAACAACGCTTACATAAAAAAAAATTAATCCATTATATTTCAGACATACTGTATAGAATTCTCAGATACATTTTGCGTGGTATTGCTCGACACTTTCCACACTAAAATTTAAGAAATATCGCGTAGTCTTTCAAAATTCATGGCATAAAACATTGCTGTAATTATTAATCAAATATAAAAATTCAATTCTTTATATATGCATAAAGCGACTAAAAGTTCCTTGTAATCTATCGATTTTAATTCATCTATTTAATAAGATCACTCTAAAAAATCTAAACGCTGTGTTGCATTACTGTAAACACGTTGCATCATAGCAATGCTGTAATATATCACATTTTTCCACGACGCTCTTACAATCTTTTACTGCTGTAAACAGATAATGTCCTTCGATAGATTAGGTGGACTATATGTTGTGTATTGTCGAATTTATTGCATCAAATACGTCTTTGAGGGAAACTGTCGGTCAGCACACGGCCCTGGAGAAACCCAGAGGATCCGCCGCGAGAGGCGCAGCGTCGCGACGCTCACCGCCTCGGTCTCGCTCTCGCTCTCGTGCTGTCGCAGATTATGCCGCATTGCCGCAAACGTTCACCATTGATACGACACCAGCTAACACCCGCCGCCGGTCGCGGCGACAGCGGCACCGGACGCGGAATGTCGACATGAGACACCGGTTGTCTCGCCGTGGGAAGCGACGAGGAGGACACGATCGGGTCGTAGATAAAATTAAAGAAAAGAGCGAAAATACGGAAGAAAAGAAAAAAAAGCACTCACCTCGACTGCGTCAGGAAGCTGACGATCGAAAGCGCGATCATGAACGTCCGCCGGCTGCCCGGTTTTCTGTACAACTACAAGCTCGCGACGATCATCCTGACAGTCGGCCCGTGTCTCGTCGTCTACTTGCTTCTACATTGGGGCGTGATGTGCACGAATCTCGAGGCTTGGCGTCACGTGTCCACCGTGGTGAGTTACACTGCTGCGAGTTGCTCCGGTCGCGACGACGACCGGCGGAGCGATGTGCGCGATCGCGCTCGGCGAAAACGCGATATCTCTGGATTCTAGCGATGTGAGGGTTGGCACACAGCTGATATGTGTCAGGGGATGGTGAATGAGTGTGCGAGTGAGTCCTGCGCCGGCGAAGAGGGTAAGAGAGCGAGGTAGACGCACGCGTACTCTACGCAGCTTCCGAATAGAAGAGGGAACTTCCGACTCGCGAAGAATCCACACGTGCTATTCGTACGAGGCGTTCGAAGCGACGTTTAAATTCACCAAGTTTTACAGCATTATCGCTTCTGCCGGAAGCTACAACAATCAAGTAAAAACATGTCTTTTGATAAATTCGTACTTGCGCGAAAAAAAAAGTCAAGCTATAGACCGGCAAACAAAGTTCAGTTTAAAAGCGTCTGATTGAGGCGTAGTTTACATTCGGAAAGATTATTGATAAAAAAGGTGTTTGCGATACAAGTTGCAGACGTTACATATGCTCACTGATAAACTCGCCACATACAAGAAAGGTCAAGTGTACTTGGCCCGAAAACAGAAAGTTTAACTTGAAAAACTTGACTGAGAGATAACTCGCCATGAGAATTTAAAAAACTTACCGATAACAGTTTATACATATTTGTAAGCTTGTACATACTGTTGCGAGTAATCGTGCAGGCTGTGCGTTCCGGTAACCCGAATAATACTCCAGGTATCGATCCTCGTGAGACGTTCCTAATTTCGCCAGGATCGAAACTGCGCTTGAATAAGACATCTGTGCTGCTTAATAATGCTTGTCTCAATTCCATATCGCGCTAAAAAAAAATAGAAAAAAATTATTAAAATTACAACTTTAATTGCATGTGTGTTGACGCGCGCGTATGTATAATTCATTAATGCTTGCATCATTATTCGAATCCAAATATTAAAACATGAAGAATGTAATATAAACATTGATCGTACATACTACAATTTTATTAATTACAGCGGAAAAAAAGCAGAATTATTAATCTGGATTATGAATTTGTTACAACTAAATTTTTCCTACAAAAAATTCAAGTTTTGTAACGCGTTTAAGTTTAGTCACAATTAATTATAACATAGAAAAATGACGAAATTATTAATCTGAATAAGTTTGTCATAAATAATTTTTTAAATTTCTAGAAGTTTCGCACGCGTTTAAAAGTTCTGTTAAAATCGTGACTTTATAAAAAACTTTTATCAATGTTTCATAGAACAAAGTCTCTGAAATGTCTTTTAGTGAGTAACTGCAAAAATATTTTAGAGCGACCTAATTGGGCAACGTCGGTGAAGTCTTATATGATTTTATGTCATGTATGACATTATTACATCCGAACAGTATTCGTCGCAGCGTACAATTAAGAAGAAAATCCTTTATATAATATTCGACCGACACACGCGAGAACGTCGTGGGACAAAAACAACGACATGTATTTAATTAGATGTGTATTATTTTCCAAAGTGATTTTCATTACGTACATTCGTTGGGAAATTTCCAAAGAGGATGGAATGTTATCAAATTACTCTAAAAATTTCTGCGGTTATGTAAAGCATGTTTTCATGATTCGCGTTTAATGAATGAATAAGAAGGAAAAGTGCGATACAATACACAGAGATGTCCTCTTGTATGAAGATATGCGAGAGAGAAATCTTACATACATATTCCTCCTTGAAAAATGTTCATTTATTGGCGAAACATGATACACAGCGTTGAGATAAGTCGTTCAGTCGCAAGAACATTTTCGATAAGTTGCCTCGTAACGAAGAATGCGCAGGCACGCATGGCACGTATATACGAGGGCCGCGAAGTCATGTGTCTCCTCTCGAGGGGACCCCGTCACCGTGTAGCCGATTGCTAAAAATATCACACGAACAAACGAGCAGAGCCTGTTACGTTGCTGTACATGCACGCGGACAAGTAATATGTGATCCGCACGAGTATACGTGATAGCGCCCACGCGCGCAAGAGAACAATTCCCGTCCATTGCTCTTAATTTTCGCGGCTGGAACGCGAGAAGTGTAATAGAAAGAAACTTTCTATTAAAATATGAACATTAAAATATTTATCTGTAAACTTATTTCAATAAATAAGAAATATCCTTCTAATTAAATATATTGAGTCTATATTTAATGTATATTAAATATAATATATATGATAAATTTGTTTATTAATATAAATAAAAAATATATATTCATAAAAACTTTGTTCCAAGTGAAGTATTATACGCAAAAGATTCGTTCGTCCACTTGACGTTAAAAACAAAATTACGTAAAGATTCGCAATAATTTGAGATATTTTATTTCAGTACATTTTTCTTTGTTCACAGAGAAGTCTTTCAATCTTTTTTCAAAAAATTTAAAGCGAGACTAAATAGAAAAATGAAGAAACTAATATAGTAATCTAATATATTCCGCAAAAAATAACAAAAAATAAATATTTAAAAATTTAACTTTAGAAAAATAATTAGTTTTCATAAGCTAGTATTAAAAAAAATTATTTTATGTTCAGAGTATTCTCCAACTCTACATCAAGCGTATGGCAATTCCTTTCCTGTCCCTCTTTTTTTCGCAGGATATTTCTTATTTGATTTATGAGTTAGAAATCTTTCTGCTTGTTATTACCACCATATTCGCGATTGCAATTTTTATTTTAGTGCAGCCAGCATCGAGACGGCGCCGCGATAGGAATTCTCTGCGAACCACTGTGCGCCGAAAAGGGGATACACTCGCTAGTGTGCGAGGCGCGCCATGCGGGCAAGGAAGCAGTGTTCTCCGCACACTGGGAAGCTACACGATTGGTGTTCAAAGCTTCAAGGTGTCCGAAACTTTTGCCTCTTCTTATATCTTATATAAAAAAAATTTTTTTTTTAAATTCATATAAACATTATTTTTGTTCAGAACCAAAGCAACCGCGGACCAATTCGAGTCGTTTTACTTGATGGACGCGACCGGTTCACGGCGCTTTCCGTCGGAGGAGGATTTTATGACCATGATCAGAGACGTGGTTGTCTTTAAACTGAACACAACTGTTACACGATATCAGGTGGAGCGACTCGCCCGCTTACGCACACATCGAATGGAAACAGATCCCGAGAGACGCCAGTTGGAAATGGAAAATCTTTGGCCGTTGCTACAAGAAAATGAATACCTGATGGCAATTTTGTACGAAGACAGAGACGTGTTTCCACAATTGATCGGCACGTGCGGTACTTTCTACGCAGTCGAGTACGTCAGACCGATTGAGACGCCCACGACGGTGCTGGCGCTGTCCGACTCAAAGCCCGAGTGGGCCAAGCGGCTGAAGCTCGCTGTGATGATCCTCGATTTGCTCGATGAACTGGAGACGAATTTTCACGAGCCCCTTCAGCTTTGTGACGTGAAGATCAATCATTTTGGTTTACCCTTAGGTGGACAGAAGTTAAAATTCCTGGATCTAGACTCAGTTTTCCCGAGAACCGTCATTAGCCGCTTTATCGCCGATGGCAAAAGCTGCGAACAACACAAAGACTGCGATTACCTCGATTGCCGATCGATGTGCTCGAAAAACAAACGCTGCGAATCGCCGGTCCTCAACAATAATTTACAGGTAATCGATATTACTGCGTTATTTAGAATAAAAGATATTTGATCAGTACTTATGATATCTAATAAAGTTTTGTATATAAAGCTGATAAATTGTATATGAAAAAACTTTTCGCAAGAAGAATGCCACGTTTGCAACGCAAGACAATGCGTGTCTACACAAGTATTATTTACAAAAATCAGTGAAATAATATACGATTTATTGTCACATTACTTAATTCGCTTAATTTTGCTCCGTCTGACTTCTATTTATTCCCGCGGATAAAAAGTTTCTTTTGAAGAAGTGAAAGAAGCAGTATAATGAGCAGAAATATGATGAGCATGAAGTATTTTGGAGCATTATTAGTTCAAATGCATTGATGTTGTGTATATATAAGTATATAAAGATTATACTAAAATTATATTAAAAAGTAAAAATAATTTTAAAAATATATAACACATCTTTCTATTTCATTCCGAGATCTTTTTAAATAATCCATGTAAATAAATAAACTTTAAGAAACAATGTGTTCAATTATCATTGTTAATCATGATATTTCAGTTTTGTCATTTATTTTTTTTTACTAAAATGATGAATATTTCTTACAGATTATCTGCGAGAAGATCTTTCTCGGTTGGACACTCTCGGGAACGATAATCATCCCTGGATTGCTCATGTCAGTGCATACTACCAGTACGTTGGCTGTGTTCTTAAGACAATGTGCTAATCCGGATGGTGACACGACGCGTTTACCACGTGCAGCGGCACCTGAGAGCCTAAAAAAACGATTGTACAACATGCTGAATGAAATGGAGCATGAATACTCCGCATTTGTGTAAAAATGAAAATGATATTAATGAAAAAAGTGATACAATCGACATGAAGGAACATACTTTCGACTACGATAAAAATGCTGTGAATTTGTGATTTGGAATATAGAAGTATTTTTTGATAGATTTGATAGATAGGACCTCAAGATACCATGCATTCTGACATGTCTAGAGGGAGGCAAAGCTTTAAATTATTACATACAATCGCATACTTTTACACCATGCATTAGTGTTAGAGTATGTATACGTATGTATTTAAACAAGTGCACATACCTTTTTTTATATTATAGCGTAATAGAAGAGTAATAAAACAAACTTAACAAAAGCTAGCAATACTAATGAAAGTAAAGATGAACTTAATTTAAGATTAATTGTGAGATTATAGACTTCTATTAATTTGAGAAACGTAATAATAAATATCAAAATGCCTTTAATTGAAGAATAATGAGCGACTAGTTTCTAGACTATTCTTATATAGACAGGTGAAACCTATTTGTAATGTAATAATTTATTATGTATATATTAATATTAATTATTTAGTGACATCACATCATACATTTTCGACTGCCTGTTATACTATTCTTTATATTTCTTTTCTTTTATCTTAAACATACGCAATGAAAGTTCGACAAAAGGCCACTTTTTCCAACGTCGGTTAACCGACGATTTCACTTTATTAATAAAATGCTGAATGAAATATGGTCATCAAAAACAAAAGATTTAAAATTTTTGTCACTTTTAATGAAGATATTTATTCGTGTTAGCAATTTTATTAATAAATTGAAATCGTCGGTTAACGTTAAACAACGTTGGAAAAAGTGGCTCAAAGTGTATTATTCTAAACTAAAAATAAAAAATTATAATATTTACATCAATCTATTGTCGTCCATATTTGATTCTAGTCGGCTTTTTGCAACGTAAAGACTAGAGTTTTTCGGCAGAATTTAAATAATTTTTATCTCGATTTTGTCTTGTGTATTGTCAACAGATTTATCGGCTGTCACCTATAAAATATTTGTAAATGGCAATTATAAAACAGTTGTAAATCTAATCAAATCTCTGTATGTGTGTTTTAACCGTTTTAACTTACCAAACAATTCACAATATAAAAAAGAGCGCCCAACTTGGCCCAAATAAATCTATGCATAGATGGGTGCACTAATGCATGAAATACATGACGCGCCACCTAGCGGTTACGTGCGATGAACATTCAAATGTAATAATACGTCCAGTAACTTTTATTCTTTGTCCGGAACCAATAAACACCTAATTGCGTTTCAATATTTATTAAATAGTTATTAAATAGTTATTGAAAATAACTGTACAATTGAGATATAAATAAATCAACGATGCATTACGATTATTAATAGCGTTTTCGATTGAACAAATTTTAATCGACCGAAGATTGATCAATGACGTCATCGCATCGTCTCCATCAATAAAAGACTTGAATTTATAGTAAAATAGTGATTAATCAACCTCGGATCAATCAAAACCGTTTAATCAAAAACACTAAATTACCGACATACCGACAGAACTCCAGGGTTTTACCCATCGATAAAACTTACTATGTAGTTCCACGTCCATCTAACACGCGTCTCACATGTCAACTCATCTAAATCGAGAAAAATAACCGTTCTCAAATTTTGTAGCTTTCATGCCTAATCGAAGATAGGTGCTGTTCGTCAGCTGAAAGTGATCCAATAATACAGACAAAAATCTGTCTGTAAAAATTTGATATCTAATCATGACGAGCAATCTGAAAATCGGTGGTTATCCTGCGGAGTACGATCCTGTGAGACACGGTCCATATGATCCTGCACGTTATTATGGAAAAGGTGAGTTCGTCGCACTTGACATATACTTTTCCACAGTCGCGATTAATAATAATCTTATATAATCTTTTATTCGTATAGCCGACACTCCGTTTCTGGACCTAAAGCTCAATGAGATCACCGGTTGGATCTCCAGACGTCAGAAGACTCCTCAGGCGGTTGCCGGAGTGTTTTCACGAGGTATTTGTCACACGAGGCCATTTTATACTAATGAAAAATTGCATAACTCGATATCTGATCGTGTACAACCTCGAGAATTGTGTTATAATGCCATTATAGCATTATTCTATAACAGGACTGTTCTTTATAGTTGTATTTTAACTTACACTCTTTTGCATCAACAATAAGATGGGTATATGCATAATTAAATATTAATGACAAAAAGTACAAGATGTGCAGCTACGAGGAAAAGTTTAAACAATACAAATAATACAGGAATTCTTTGTCCTTCAAAGTTTACTGTCACAGTGTTCTCTTACATCTGCTCTATAGCATTCTGGCGTTGGCAGCACAAGTATGTACAGCCTAAGCGAAATGGTATTGCTCCATTCTTTCATGTAGCAGTTGGTTCTATGATCTTTTTCTATTGGATAAACTACAGCAAAATGCGTAAGTAGAAAAATGCAAGTACTTAATTTCATTTTAATGTGGATACAAATGTAACGCTTCCAATTATTTTATTTTACAGGTCACCATAAAAATTACAAATACCACTAATTGTATTCTATTTATAGAGATCTTAATATTACAATAAAAGCAATTTATTGTATTGTTCATGAAATATTCAACTATAGAGTGTGTTTAAATAAACAATCTTAGTATGCATAAGAAGATTTGTTATATTGGTTGTATTATATATATAATTCCTGTATCATAGCATGCATCTTGAAAAAAATATTTTGCTTTACTCTACTATAAATTAAAATCTTGAAATAACAATTAAAATCTTCCAAAATAAAAACAATGCAATATAATAGTTAGATTTATATAAAAAATGCATAAAATTTGTAAATTTATAAGCAATGGCATTTAATAAATTGATAAAGATATAGAAGAATTTTAGAAATAAATATCTTTATTGAAAATAAATATAAAAAGCAATAAATTATATAAAATATATATTTATGAATATTTCTTTTACATATGGAAAAAATATAAAACTCAAAGTAATATAAAATGTACAAAATGTGTGTACAATATACTTTCTACCGTTCTTTCAATCCTTAACTGATGTAGAATCATAAGGATTCTGTAATTAGATATTTTAATACTGATAATACAAAAATATGAAATATTGCTTTCTAATAGCAATTTTATAAGAAAAATTATAATTATATGTATATATATTATTATTATATCTATTTTGTGCAGAATCAATATTCTATCTTATAGTGCAATATATCACATGCTTAAAGTACATATATATCTTCATGTATATTTACGCAAGAGTCATGATGTATTCAACTAGGTTGGTTAACAAAAAAAGAATGATAAAGCATCACTGTAATTGCTGTCCATCAAGGTTCACAATCGTTTTTTGCAGTCAGTATGAAACAGTGGCGGCGCTAGAATTCTTTATTTATAAAATGTTTGATAATAATCGATATATATATATATATGTGTGTGTGTGTGTGTGTGTGTGTGTGTGTGTGTGTAAATGTATATATTTCCTTTAAAAATCCCAAATTAATATTAAAATTTATTACATAATTAACAATTTCATCTTTGAAAATTAAATGCCGATATTTGAAGGTAGATAAAGAAACGATAGATCACTTATCACTAAAATCAATTTATTTATAATTTTTGTTCTAAGAATAGAACGCTGATCACTTAGAGATCAAGATAAGCCACGGCCACGTAAATCCATCATCAGCGGCGCCGCCGATCTGCAGGAGGTCCGCAGTGGGCTGAACCGATTGAGTTCGCGAAGACGCACATAGGGCGAGTCGTCCTGGGCGACTCGTCTCGTGCATCGCACACGCGTACCCTCACATTATTATTGAACGTTGGATAACGGCAATTGGCGGATCAGTGAGTGACATGCGCGTGGCCGGCCAATGGGAGTGAAACCAGGGGACAAAACTCAGGTTCCCCAGCAATATGGCTGGCAGTATAAATTTGATGCTTGTAACATGAGTTTCTCTCCGAGAAATTTGACAACCGTAAGTGTAGTTTTGCGTTACGTGCGGCGTGATGTGACTTACGCGTGCCCGGCACGCTGGGAAACGGCAATGCAGGTTGGCTGAGGTCGGAACGAGACAGTCTGAACGCTCCTTATGTGAACAGGTATATGATTCGCACGTTGCCCATCGTCTCCGACGACCACACGCTCATTCTGTCCATATTGCGCTTGAACCGACGCGCTGTTACTTCACACGCGTCTCGCTCGGTCGCGAACCACAAGCGTAACGCGTATTTATTATAACGAGCCGTATATGATATTGCACGATGATCGAACAACACGTCATCCTCCTCGTTAGACCTCGTCATTTCCACCTCATTCTTCTTTCTCCTTCGTTTCTCCAGACTGGCCAGACTCGGGCGTCCTCGCTATTCGCATCTATGATAATCGGTTTGCCACAACTCCTCTCTTCCGGTGGGAGATAATTTTTATATCGCTTCTCATTGTCAGAAAGGGACGACTCACTACTTTTTTATACAGTCGGAGAATAAGACTGACCTTATAAATTATTTGGAAGACAATTTGAATATTCATAAGAATTAGTATTGCAAAACATGATTCGTGAAAGACCTCTGATACTCTTTCTAAAAACAAAGGAAGACAAATGAAGGAATAAATGTTTACTATTGTTTTGATTTAAGGTATTTTTAGATCATCTATTGAACAAAAAAAATTATACGCTGGCATCACCATGTCATCAAGGTAAATTGGCAGGAAATTTACTGTCTTAGTATACTTTAATGTGCAAAGTTTCGTAAGAATTTAATACTTTGAATATATAAATGTTCAACATAGATTACTTTCAAAATTGTAGTTTAATTGAGAGAAATAAAATTGTTTTCATATAAAGATCCGTTTTCAACTATTAAAATATAAATATACCAAAATATGATTAATTTTCAAAATTAATCTTCTTGAAAACAAAATCTTATATTCGAAGCGTTTTATTCTGTTGATATGTTACGTATTATTTATAGTAATTTTTATATCATGCTGTATAACTTCTAATTTACTTCCATAGATTGGATAGATTATTTATATTGCTGGAAACGGGAACAAATGCAGTTACCAAAAGAGCAGCTGCACAACAGTTGGGAGAAGCGCAGAGATTACACCCTCATGATCTGCATCATCTATTGGCGAGAGTCTCGACTCTGCTGAAATCCCCACAATGGGACACTCGAGTGTCAGCAGCCCACGCTGTGCAGGCTATACTTACCCAAGTTCCACCGTGGGACCCAGACCCCATGAAAAAAGAAAGCTCCACAGGTAATATCAAACTCTTCCATTAATTAATATTTATATTTCCCAAAAGTTGAGAATTTTGGAAAAATCTAATCGCACAATGGCATTGAATCAACAGATGAATCAGAAGTGAAGAAATGCAGAACTTCCACCAAATTGAGTTTGGAGTCCTTCGATATGGATAAAGTTCTAGCTCGTAGCTCACATCTCACTGGGTCGGAGGGCAGTGAATACGATTTGACTATATCAGAGGGAGAGCAACTATCGGTTCCCAATCAACAGGAGAAGCTAGCCGCAAAGCTGGGTTTTCATCCACGTCTGATGGGTGTCGACACTGCTGATTTGTTTTCCGTTGAGGATTTCACGCCAATGGTGCAAGCGTCCAGTATGACACAAGCCGGTACAATGCCTGTAAGCGAAACTTTGAAACAGCCGGAAGGCTTAAGTAGAAGAGAAATGAACAGAGCGAAACGCAAGGTACTATTGCACTTTCAATCTTTTTTTTTTATTATAGTTTGCTTGCAAACTGATAAAGGCTTTTGAAATTATTTTATTGCCTTTATATTAGTTGCAAATTTTAAAATCCAAATATTATTTGTACCTTAATGATGTAGGCACGTCAATCAGTGACGAAGCAGCGATCACGCGAACCGGACGATCATCGCGCCAACGATGACCATTCGAATTCGATGAATGTTCAGTCGCCGGTGAATGATATCGGTGAGCCTGCGTTCAAAAAATTAATATTAGAGGAAACGATCTCATCGGACACTGGACCAAAGTGCAGCACACCAAGCGAGCAGGTGTGCGGAGTGCCAGATGGAACTGGATGTTGGCCAGATTCGGTTATACATTGGCCTTTAGAAGCTTTCGCGGAGAGCCTTTGTCAAGATTTGTTCAGTCAGAAGTGGGAAGTGCGTCACGGCGCGGCAACGGCTTTAAGAGAACTCATAAGGCTCCATGGAAAAGGTGCGTTACCATGTTTATTGACATGTATATTTTTTTCTTTGTTTTTTGTAGTAATGTTAAAGTACTAAATGTCTCCAAATTTACAGGAGCAGGCAAGTCCAGAGATCAAACTCTGGAAGAAATGCAAGAAAGCCATTATCAATGGATAATCGACGCTGCTCTAAGATTATTGTGCGTGCTGGGCCTCGATCGATTCGGAGACTTCGTTTCTGACCAGGTTGTCGCGCCGGTGCGAGAAACGTGCGCCCAAGCACTGGGATCGCTGTTCAAATTAGTGTCCGGCGGGTCGCGCGCCAAAGATACAAACAAAATGTTATTTGGAATACTTTCCCTAATAATGAAACTCTTGGGACACGACGAGTGGGAAGCCCGACATGGCGCGCTCCTCGCACTGAAATATTTACTAGCCGTACGAGACGATTTATTGGACGAGGTGTTGCCGAAGGTCTTTCCTACCATTATACAAGGATTGTCCGATCCTGTGGACGATGTGGGCGCGGCTGCCGCAAGTGCACTTATACCAGTGGCTTATGCTCTCCCGCGATTATTGAAGCCAGCAGCGCTGGAAGCGATCGTGGTACGCCTCTGGCAATTGTTAAAGGAACAGGACGATCTAGCTGCGGCTTGTAACAGTTTCATGGGTCTCTTGGCCGCGATACTTTCGCTGCCAGCAGCACGCGCCTGTTTGGCGCCGCAGCCGCTATCGCAGGTAATGCGTATATTTTTAATAAAGTTTCGAGGAACGATTAAATTCACGATCGTGCGATTAACGGTCGTTTTTGTTTAGGTATTGCCACGCTTATGGCCGTTCCTCAGCCACTCGAGCTCGAGCGTGCGCAAAGCCACGCTGCAAACGCTGCAGACCTTGACCGGGGACGACGGCAGGCACACCGAGGACAAGAAGGAACGGTGGGGCGAGGGCGGCGGTGTGGTCCTGCAGGAAGCGCTGTGGCATGTGTTTCAGTGCGTGCTAATCGAACATATTGCCGTGATACAGGACGTGGCCGAGCGTGTCTGGGAGAATCTAGTCGTACAGAGTGATCTCGAATTATTGCTACACGCGGCATGCCCTCATGTCAGCACGTGGCTCTGCCTCGCCATGCAGCCGGAACATGTGCCATTCAATCCGACTCTGTTAATGACGGTCGCGAACCCCACGAAGGGCGTAAAGAATAATCAAACGGTTGCCTACTGCGACGCGCAATCGGACTCTAGCAATAACGGCGGCGGGAATAGTAATGCGAATGCGAAATCGTTGTCCGAGCTGAAGGTGTACATCGGCGGGATCGAAACGGTGGCGCTGAACGTGCGGAAGGCGAACGTAGTGCAGGCTCGTTGTCGAGCGTCTCGTATGTTGGGATTGCTGTCGCACTACGTGGTGCAGCCGGCGCCGGGCGTCGTTTACACACCGGACATGCCCAGCCCGGCGCTCTGTTACGCCAAGGTGTTGCTGGCGCATCTCAATTCGCGATCGGCGCTGCAGCGCACCGTCGTGGGACTCACGATGTCTCATTGGGCGACGGTGGATTCCCTGAAGCCGCCCGCGACACCAGACATACTCAGGTAACGAGCGATGCGACTTTTTCACGAAAGCGAAGAGAAACAAATGTTGCGTGCATTTACGTTAACCAGAGATATTTCTTATTTTTTAAAGGGACAAACTGTTGGCTTGTTTGAACGAATGTACATACTACGATGAAATCGCGACCTCTTTCACGAAATTATTGCACCAAAGTCGGGATTACAACGCGACCCTGAAACATTATAAATTGCCAGTGCCGGTCGACGTGGATTCATCCGGCGTGATGACTCTTGATCAGATCACGGTACTCGTTGGAAAAACGATAACCGCTCTTTGCGCCGCAGGAAGTGGAGCTGGAAATAATAGCGGCAATCAGATCAAATTGAAACCTAAGTTACTAGAGAGCCTGGAGGAAAGGAGGCGAGCGCTAAAGATCGGAGCGGCCACGACGGCGGCGGAACAACAATCCTGGCATATTATGTCAATGGCCGCGCTCGCTGGCGCGGCCACGATGTTACACTGCCTTCCTCAAGCTCCGCAGCCGCTTAATCCGTTGGTGAAACCGCTGATGGAAGCTGTAAAACGCGAGGAAAATGAAGAACTGCAAAAACTGGCTGCGAAGCATTTGTCTTGTTTGATTGAACTGTGCGTCGACAGAAAACCCTCTCCAAACGCAAAGGTTTGCATAAAAATCATATATACATATTTAGTGAAGTTGATTGATAAATTGATGAAAAATGAATTATTACTCCAAACAAATATATCAAAAATATTCCAAACTATAAAAATTCGTTACTGCAAAATATTAAATAATTTGTCTGTTGCAGATTTCCACCAATCTGTGTACGTTCTTGTGTTCCGACATTGAATTCACGCCGCGCGTATGTTGCGCCGGCGACGCTGACGTTTACGACGGAATACTTACTTTGAATAATAGACAGAAACAAGCTGAAAGAATAGCGTATAATCGTGGTGCTGGCACCGGGGTCGGCGGTGGCAGAGGTCCCGGTCGACCGCCGACAACGGAAATACCCTTGGAAGAGTTACTGGCTTGCGAAGAACCGGAAGCCAAAGCCGCCAGAACACGTCGCCGCGGAGCCACATTAGCATTGACAGCTATAGGTATGCGACAGCAGTGCTTAATATATCCATTTGGATGCGCATGAATTAAAATCAATTAACATTTAACTTGGACCTTTGACTCGAGTGAAGAGAAAATCGGATAAATCTTTCTTAAACGTGTAATTAATTTTAATACGTAGAATGATGGTTCTGTTAACTTTATTTTTAAAAATAATCTTATATTCTTAAAGCTACTCTTCTCGGTGCTCAATTGCCGGTTCGTCTACCTCAGCTGTGGGATTTGATTTTGCCGAGTATACTAAAAGACGCAAACTGGCAGGATAAGGTACAAGAGGAGGAAGGAAATCAATTGATCTTTGGCTTGCAAGTGTTGGAGATTATGGCGCCGAGCTTGGACAAGTCCCTCTTGCCGCCTGTGCTGGAGTGTCTGCCGCGTTTGTGCATTCTATTAGCGCATCCGTACAAAGCCGTCAGGCATATGACATCACGATGTATAGCTACGCTAGCCAGTTTAAATACGGAGAAGGTTAATGTTTAAACTATGTCGAAGGCACTCGCGCGCAAATTGATCAATGCGATTACGATGAACGTAATGGAAAATGTTTCTTTCAGACAATGATACACATAAGGCATAGCGTCATACCGCTTCTGGAAACGACCGGCGGTGAGAAAAAATGTTCCTCAGGCAAAATGGCACCGAATGAGGTCGATTCGATACGCCAGGGAGCCGCGGAGGCTCTGACTTGCATCGTCGAAACATTGGGCGTCCACGTGGTGCCGTACGCTGTACTCTTTATGGTGCCTTTACTCGGACGTATGAGCGATCAGAATCAAGCTGTAAGATTAGCCTGCAGCGCGACATTCGCCACACTTGTCCAACTGTTACCGCTGGATCCCGGCTCACTCGCGGATCCGCCGGATTTAGTGTATGTTATATAAGATTTTATATAAGATAACAGGCACATTTGGTGCGCACGACAATATTTCTTGAAGATTATTTCAGTTTCTGAAAATTGGAAGAACAGACAACAATGTTTCAATCTATTAACTTTATTAATCTTCAGAGAATTGTTTTTTTTTTTTTTTTATTACAAAGATTGCGCTCTAGAAAACCACGTATTAAATTTTTTAGTTTTTTTTTTCTATAAAAGTAAAAAATTTTAAAACAAAAATTTTTCAAAAATTAGAATATATATATATATAAAATTTACATAACTCGTTTTAAAATATGATATTACTTTTTAATGTTCTACTTTCTTAAGATTAATTTAATAAATGACGCAACAACAGTTATTGAATATTGATATCGAGTATTAATATTCAACGACTGTTATTGCATTTAAAGTGTCGATGTTCAAAGTTCAGTATTTCATTGCCGAGATATTATTATAAATGTCACGTTACCTCTTAGTTTTTTGTGTTTCATTAATTTTAACCTATAAAATGTATACGGAACACTTTAAAGTATTTCAACAAGATATTTTTTTCCCACTTGTGCTCGTTAGCGGAAACTCGCATAACACATACGAATTATTCTCACAATATATATAATATTGCAGACAAGAGAAGGCACAGGAGCGAAAGTTCCTCGATCAGCTCATAAATCCCCGTAATATCCCCGACACGGAGCTGCCGGTTCCCGTAGCCGCTGAGCTACGCTCTTACCAACGTCAGGGCTTGAATTGGCTCAACTTTCTAAATCGCTACCACCTGCACGGAGTTCTGTGCGACGATATGGGTCTCGGAAAAACGCTGCAAACTCTCTGCATCCTGGCGCTGGACCACCATCGCAATTTACAAACACCAACCAGCCTAGTGGTGTGCCCGCCGACTCTCACCGGTCACTGGGTGTACGAAGCCGAGAAGTTCTTCAAGGCGCAGGATCTGTCGGTCATCCAGTACGCCGGCACGCCGCTGGAGCGCGACAAACTGCGTTCCCGCGTGCTGAATTATCGGCTCGTGATCGCGAGTTACGACATCGTGCGCAAGGACATCGAATTCTTCGAGGCGCACCAATGGAATTACTGCGTGCTCGACGAGGGCCACGTGATAAAAAACGGCAAGACGAAGAACGCCAAGGCGGCGAAGCGGCTGCACGCTAATCACAGGCTCATCCTGTCCGGCACACCTGTGCAAAACAACGTACTCGAATTGTGGTCTCTGTTCGACTTTCTGATGCCGGGCTTCCTCGGCAGCGAGAAACAATTCGCCGCCAAGTATTCTCGTCCCATTCTAGCCTGCAGAGAACCGAAGGCAGGGCCGAAGGAGCAGGAAGCCGGCGCTTTGGCCATGGAGGCTCTTCATCGACAGGTAGAGCTTGTGTGCCACAAATTTTCTTCCCCAAATGTATCTCGACTTGACTTGGAAAAATGATTACAGGTACTGCCGTTCTTGCTGAGGCGGAACAAGGAAGATGTGCTACAGGATCTGCCGCCCAAAATCACGCAGGATTATTACTGCGATTTGTCGCCTCTGCAACGTCTACTTTACGAAGACTTCCGTACTCGTCATACGGCAACGCTCACCACCGGCTCTTCGTCTTCGAGCGATCTTCAAACTGGCCACGTATTCGAGGCGTTACGATACTTACGCAACGTGTGTAATCACCCTAAATTGGTGTTGAAACAACAACATCCGTTATATCAAACGGTACGTATATAGAAATGTGTTAACAAACACAAATACTATTTAAAAAAAATTATTTATGTCAAGATATTAAATTCTCCAATTTCTTCAGTTATTTGCAGCGAATTCACAGTTGATTCGCACATTAAAATGCATATATAATCGCGAGATACTCAATATAATTTATCATTTTACGTTTATATTTGCTAAAATATATTATTATGAATCATATTTTCACAATTAGACGAAAGTCTTCAGTCTGGATCGGTGCGACCGAGTTTGTTATTATTTTTTTGCAACGCATTATGCATTCGGATTTTCGATAGCTAATCAATCTCCATGCAACATTTTCAGGTATGTGACATGTTGAAGCAGCAACAAAATACTCTGGCGGACATCGAGCACAGCGCCAAGTTGCCTGCTCTCAAGCAACTGTTGCTGGATTGCGGCATCGGACAGCAGGCGCGTAATTCCTCCGCCGTCACAGAAAACTCTCAGGAGCAGCAGTTGGTCAGCCAGCATCGCGCTCTAATTTTCTGCCAGCTGAAGGCGATGCTGGATATCGTGGAGAACGATTTGCTGCGCGCGCATTTGCCGACGGTCACTTACCTACGTCTCGACGGTAGCATACCAGCGGCTCAGAGGCACTCCGTCGTGGCGCGCTTCAACGCCGATCCGTCGATCGACGTTCTTCTGCTGACCACTCAGGTCGGCGGTATCGGATTGAACCTAACGGGCGCCGACACCGTCATATTCGTGGAGCACGACTGGAACCCGATGAAAGATCTCCAAGCGATGGACCGCGCGCATCGTATAGGTCAGAAGAAAGTAGTGAATGTGTACCGCTTGATCAGCAGATCGACAGTGGAGGAGAAAATCATGGGGCTGCAGAAGTTTAAGCTTCTCACCGCGAACACAGTAATATCGACGGACAACGCCGCTCTGGAGACCATGGCTACCGATCAGGTAATTAATCTTTAGACGCACCCCAACATCTTGAAATCAGCAGATTATGTATTAAACATATATCTGATTGAGAAGTTTTCCAATTTTTTCAATTCTATTTTTATAGAAAAAAACTGAAAAGCTTTATGAATAACCGAACAAAGAAGCGAATAGTTCCATGAAATGCATTCGTCATCTATTAATATTCCCATTATGATTCACTTTCTAAAATCATGAGCTTGCAAAACATACTGATTTTTAATAAATATTATATGGATGACGAATGTACTCTATAATTGAAATTATCCGCTTCTCTTTTGTTTTCTTAAAGTAAAATCTTTGTGATTTACAAAAAAACTTTAAAACTTAAATATTTGACTCGTTTCTGAAAAACTTGCGAGATGTACAATCGATATGATCTGTCCAGTTGTTAGATTTATTCTTGTTGGATAACGAAAAAGAGAAGAGGCAACCGGATCATCACGATGACGCCGCTTTGTCGAAGTTACCTGGCCTACCGGGAATTAGCCGTTCTGTACTGGATATCCTGCCTGAGCTTTGGGAACAGCAACAATATGACGACGAATACGATCTCGACTCATTTTTGTCCACACTGAAGGCTGATAGCCAGTAAGCTCGTACCTCGTTAAATCAATGAACGTAGATTATAAAATTTGAGAAGTTTATCGCGTGTCATGTAGCTTGAGGTTGGCACATCAAGTAGGCATGTTGTAGATTCGGTTGTTAACTTTTAGTTGTGTGCGAGGCGATAATCTTCGAAAGTTCATAAGGCATCGCCGAGTGGCCGAAGATGACAATTGACGTAATTTACATACTACGTAAAAAAAAAGGCCACCACTGATTAACTAAAAGTTAACTAGCCTTGTCGCGCTCTAACAGGCGCTTTCTTGCTAAGTGCTAGCGATAAGGGAAATGACATTATACGTGGTACCTAAGCTCAGATAACTGGTATGATAGCCGATAGAGAATAGATTAAGGTATATCTTGTGTATCTTTAGTTATAATAATTTATAAAAATGCCGATATAATTACACAATTCCACATTTGTACCAAACGACGCCATGGTGCATAATTATTTATAATGTATACTAGTCTCTTTCTCTCTCTTTCTCTTTTTCTACACCATCATACGAGTCAGTAAACGACAATACCAGTTGCCTCAATCGCTATCTACGTGCGTTCACATACTCAAATCATTATTCTTTAACCACAGTAGCGATACTCCGTTAATAATATTTGTTAGCATTTTATCGAGAAGCGCACCAGCCGGGGATAATTCTAACGAAAGTTTACAAAATACTACAGCTTTCGATTGAAATCATACGAACTGAATTTATTGCAATCATTGCAAACAATTAGCTTTCCAATGATTTAATTTATTTTAATATATGACTTTACGATAAATCTTTAATACATCAATATTTTCTTTCACTTTTTTTAGAAACAAATAATTTTTTTGCAAAAGCATATAAAAGTATAAGCATATCATATTTTATTTTTCATTCTTAGCGATGTATAAAATATTTTTTAAAAATTGAACACAATTATGAACATGTAGAAATCGGCTAGCTAGATACGTGCTTGCATATATCACGGGCGTGTATCTTGAAGGATTAAAATACCGGCAAATATCACTAACGAAGTAACTAACTCTACAGGTTTCCCAGTGCTACACTACCATACGACTTCACGAACCGATTCACAATTTTGATTTGTACCCTGAAACGATATTACCAGCCGCGAATATATTATACGGATCTAAATGCGCCTTAGTTGCCTGATAAAGCGAAACACCCACTTCGCCGACGGCCTCGGGATAAAACGACGCACGTATCTTTCCCACTCCGTGATGATGCGAGAGGGATCCGCCGCTCGCTAGTATCTCCTCCCGCGCCGCATGCTCGATGGCTTCGTAAGTCTCGACGGGTTTCTCCAGGCCTATGCAGCTAATCGCCATATAAAAGTACACGCAGCAACCAGCATCGTAGGTTTGCGTGACGCGGCAGGAAACGAAATATCTAGGAACATTATGCGCCTGGCAGTCCCTGGCCACGCGAGACTTGACATTTCTGCACAGCGACAACGTGCGATTCCAAGAAACGGACGTCTCGAACGATTCCGCTAATATGTTGAACTCGAGTGCCAAGTCGCGGATGTACGCTATCACGAACGTCAGCATGTATCCACGTTCACCGTTCGTCCCGCCCGCCGCTACGCCCCCGTACTTCTGGGCTATCTTGTAAATTTTCTGCTCCTGCGCGGTGACCTCCGCCGCCACGTCGCCCTCCATCAGCAGCGTGGCCACGCACATCTCATCCCATCGGAAACCCTTTATTCTAGTGATGTACATTTGTTTCAGTCCTTGCAATATCGAGCCGCCCCATCCGGATTCCGGGCGTAGAGTCTGTCCCATTTGAAATTGCTCATTGTCCATTAAGCGTATGCTGGCGGGCTGACATCGTTCCTTCGCAATCTGTACATACATATTCATAACGTAATTAAAGTACCTCTCCTCTCGAATTTTACGAGACGGATCGCGTTCCTTTGTTACTTCGCGACAGCGGCCGTCTCTCGCTGCTTTCTTTCGTCGCGTGTTGCGCAAACGTTAGCAAAGAAACGCGGTTCTCTTACGGTCGGGTGTGAAGAACGTCATTGAAGAAAAGTCAATACGAAAGGTACACACCTCACGTAACGCTTGGACGCCACTTTGGAAATTCGGGAACGCAATACTGCCGTATTTCACCGTTCGCGGTAACGGTCTTATCTTCAACACGACCTCCGTGACGACGCCCAGGGTGCCCTCGCTGCCGAGAATCACGTGATCGAAATTCGGCCCACAAGACGTGCGTGGCACCAGACTGCCTTTTTCCAAAGTGATGACGGGATCCTCTGTTCTGCCTGTGACCATTCGCACCTGCACGACCAAATCCTCGATGTTGCCGTACCTGTTCTTTTTCATACCGCTCGCCCTAGTCGCCACCCATCCACCTAAACTGTTCGAGACAAACCAATTTTCAGTTTCCGTGCATTCGCAAATTTTTTTTT